AGTGGATTTAACTTTATCTGGAGATTGTCTTTTCTGAAGCTGGGAGACTTTAAATTGGTGGCACGCTACGCCAATATCAATGTAGGGCATCTCATGTAGGGTTATGGAGAAAAGTTCAGTGTTTTCCTAGAGGCATTCAACCAGTTCAGCTCTGACTTCTAAAGAAAGTTTTCCACCTCCTTTAAATGGCCTGGTCGGGTCTTTCCCGAGCTGGATGGACTCAAAATTAGCACATGGCACCGGTTGCACCTCGTCTTCATGAGCATCTAATTCGAACGCACCAGGATCCCTCAATTTTACTTCTTCTTCTGCGTCTGGGGCCGTGTCCAATGCCAAAAGATCTTTTTGGATATTTCCTTAATCCACTTCGTTTCATCTACACCAGCAGATACTGAGACTAACATTCATTCAGTGTTGAGATAAGTCACCTTTAAATAGATCGGAGATGTCATCACATCTAGTATTTCTAGGAGGATCTCCATAAGACACCTATGGAGGCACTCCAACATAATATCATTAGAAAATTGAGGATTATTTTTCTTTTGCAACCTCCTTCTCCAACAATCACGATCAGATCCATAACTCCTTAAGGATAAATGATCAAATCCTTGAATTCTAATAGATTTCCTCCTCCATACATATTCAAACCTTCTTGCTTGATACCTATCAGATCCATCATATCTGGGCAGACGATGTTACATGAACTTCCATCCTCCCTGAGGAATCCGGTTAAATTGCGATCTACTATGATGCTCACAAGAATCAGAGGCAGGTCAACATTTGGGATTCCATTGATTTTATCACAATCTAGAAATCCTAATTCAAAACGATCTTTTCTTCATTGAATATCTGCATCAAGTACAAAATTTTATGAAGGATAGGTGATAGATAATGTGATATCATGAAATTCATCAATCGGTGATACCTGAAGAACAGTTGATTCAAGGGATGTATTAAAGATTTTAGACATAACTACCAGAGTTACCCTCTTTACTTCTGCTATTGTGGTTACTTGTCTTATTTTAGATCAAGATTTACCTGAAGATGAAAATCATTAGGAATCAAATGTCAATTCCCATAGATGATGCCACTATTTTGTTCGGAAATCAGAAATGGATGCAGTTGGAAACTAATGATCTTGAACGGTGGTTGTGATCTTCTATACGGCAGCACATGATGGATTTGCATGGTCAACACTCTAACGCTCAATTCAGTTCAAGATTTAAGATGAGTATAGTGAAAAGTTGAAGACTAGAGATTGTACCTTGATTTTAACGTGTGAGCTGTTTTTTATACCTTGGATCAAGTAAAATGGATTTGAGATGGATTGAGCCTCGATCGTTTGGGCCTTAGGCCGGCCTAAAACAAAACTTAAACATTAGTAGATGATTCAAGATATTTCAACATCTTGATAATATCGTCGACAAATCTCACAGCCATCACATCACCTCGATCAGACCCTTTGTTTCGTATCACTGATATGTGTTCCACATAACCTTTAAATCTTCATCTGTCTTCAGCTTAAAGTTGTTGAACTTCTCCTTTCCTTCAGTATCAATCGATGGTCAATATTACTCAATTTTAAACACCTTTTTATTGTCGGTGTGGTGCAGGAGATTATCTAGTTCGAATTTTAGAACAACAAGATAAGTGTTTTATGTGAGCCTAAAATCAATAGGATATTTCACGCCATTGAAATACACAAATACGAGATACCAAAATTGAGGCACCGTGAGGTTTTCTGTTAACAACATATATTGCATATTTATACAGGTTTTAAATCATTACGGATCACACAAAATTGTCGGTACAATCACAATCCTATAAAAGTGTCAGCATAATCTCAACCATTAAAAATTAACACTATCGAATATTTTAAGGTTATAGAAAAAAATCTAATATTCGCTAACGTTTTTGAAAAAATAGGTATAATTTATCAAATACCATATTTTTCAAAATTAAATATCAGATTTTTTTTAATTGATCTACTATATTATTCATGTGAGAGAGTAGGGGTGTGCATGAATAACCATTTAATATGAATCAGTCTATTTTTATGGTTATGGTTTATAGACCAATCCATTTTTATGGTTATGGTTTATAAACCAAATCACTTGTTCCGAACCGGTTTAAAACCAATTCTAAATAAATTTTAATTTTAATCCAAATTATTTAGTTAAATTTAAATTTAATTTTTTAAAATTATATCAATTTTTAAATTTAAATAGTTGAATTTTAATATATTTTTTTTGAAAAAAAAAACATTTTAAAAAACAATTTTTTAAAAAAATCCCTAAAAAACATTAAAAAAATTAAAAATAAAACTGAAAATAAAAAATTCTAAATCAGCAAATTATATGAACTTAAAATGGTGGCTAATATATTATAATACATATATTTGTATATTTCAAAACCTCTATTTATTAGTCGAGAAACCTATAATATTTATGATCATAAAACTTTAATGATCTTCGAGATTTATAAATGAAAACTAGAGTCAAATTCAACAAATTAAATTTTAGTATATTTTCTTGCACATGTCAAATCAAACTCGACGCACTAAGATCTAAGTAATTAATTACTGAAAGTTCGTATAATTAACTGCTAAAAGTACATACAAATTGTGAAGTATTAGTACACCATTTTAGGTAGTTAGAGAATTCGTAAACAATTTTTTTTTTTCATTTTAAAATACAAATTTTTTGTAAAATAACTTTTTTTATAAAATTCAAAAAAATTAACTTTAAAATATTCAAAATATAAAATTGGTTTATAACGTGTATATGATAAAATATGAAAAGAGACAAAAACATATCAATTTAACAAATAACTAAACCACATTATTATTATTATGAAAACATATTTATATTTGAATAACAAAATAGATAATCAAATTTATATTTTAGCATTTAGTTTGAATTTTTAAAAATAAAATAATTTGAATACAAATTTGATTGACAATAACCGATTTTTTTTCACACTACTAAGAGAGAGAATATTTTTCTAACACTCTTAATGAAAAAAATGAGAGAAATGTTTTTATATTAGGAAAAATTTGAAGTGCCGGGAGGGGTGGCAGGATAAGTTCACGTATGCATGATAATTAGATTGTAATGCCAAGCCCAGTCCAGTATCTTTTGAAGAGAGGCCCATCCCTGAACCTCTCTTTGTATCAGAATTTGATTTGATTGTAGTTCAACTCAACTCAACCACCCGGAAAACGCAGCGGCATTTGCATTCCGCCTCCACCGCGTGCATTCGCCGTCGCGACTCGCGTCTCTAGAAACAGTAAGTTGTTTAATCCTTTCTTGATGCTCTATGCGATCTTACACGCTCCAGTTTATGTTTCTCCACTGCTTTTGAAGTTGTATTGTGCCAATAGGTTACTTTTCTGTTGCAAATTGAACTGATTTGCTATTTTCGATTCTCAAGATATTTTTTTGTTTACAACTTTTTTTTAGGAGTTTCTTTTCTTCAAATATGAATGAGAACATGAAGCACTTTCAAAAGAAGTTAACGGAATTGGAACTTGAAGCTGAACATCTTCTTTTAGCCCGACATCAGGTAATTACATTTACGAATTTCATATTCAAGGTGATTCTGGCGAGCATAAACACTTACAACCAAAATAAGTCTTCAAGGTGATTCTGGCGAGCACAAGCACAAACACTGTTCAAAATATGCTTTATTGTTATGTTAACAAAGGCTGTTTTTCTTCTACTAGATCCCTTGGTTAAAATCTTTTTCTATAAAATTATGTGGCTATGCAATTTTTGTTTTGTTTTGGTGAATGTACAGTTGGTTGAGAATGATAAGTTGAGGAATGGGAATAGAGAAGCACTTACTGCATTAAGGAGAAAGGCTCGAACAACAACGAGTAGTGTTCCATCTCCTTTTGGATCAATAATGAAGGGAGTTTCAAGACCTTTAGTGCAAGAAGTGTGTACCACCTGTGGTAACCATGACTCTTTTGAGCAGACGTGGACAATGTTTCCAGGAACTGATCTGTTTGTTGGAATTCCATTTCATGCTGCTCATACTATATTGGAAACAGGTTTGTTTTATTCCATTCTGCACTCATGCCCCCTAACTGATATGAAAATTAATACTGAGAAAAGAAGTATGAAAAAATATCTGTGTATGTATGCTTGTATTAGTTTCTTATTTTTCGTCTACTTCGCCAAAAATGATGATTGGTCATGCTTCTTTATGTGGCCATTCAGTAGTATTTATTTATTTGATAAAATCATGTAATCATTGGAATTTTTTCATCTTTGCTTCAGTGCAATTTTGGAGTACGTGTGAGATTATTTTCATATTTTCTAGGTTATATGCATTAGTTTGGAGTCTGGAATTTATTTGACATCTCTGTCTTAATGCCTTTTAGTCTATAAGCTGATTTCTATTGAAATTCTGTTGGTATATTCTTACGGGTGTGTAATTACAGATCAAGCTCAGCTTGATTTTGAGGCAAAGAAACTACAGAGCACTGTGAAGGAAAAATCACTTATTATATCAGATACAGGTGCTCTTGCAGACAAGATTAGTCCAGGAGTGCTTAAATCACTTGTAACCTTAAATGACAAACCAAAGTAACATGCTTTATGCCGACTATGGTGTCTTACAGTGTCATTGGAAATAACTTTCTCTAGGCATTTAGGTGTTTATTCAAGTCTTGATTTTGAAGACGAGCGTCATGGATTATCTCTACCTATCAGTTTTACTTCTTCTACATGCACCAACCAGTAACCTATGCATAAGTTTCTCTGAAGTCACACTCTGTAAACTATGAATCTTGAAGTTTTAGAAACTGCTCACGAGACTTATATCACACCCTGAGAAAATAATACAAAGTTTTGAGTTATACACACTTCTTTTTATTAGTTGAGGCTTATTATTACAGTGACATCCTTTTTAGATTTAATTCTCTATTGAGTGGACTCTGTTACCAAATATTTAAATGGTGAAATCATATTAATATTGTCTATAATTTGTAAAACTTATTTTATAGTATATTTATAGTCCACCACCGCGTCCACTTCCTCAAATGATTTCAGAGTAGCTATTTGTTTTTCATAGTAATCTTTCACTCCTACAGGTTCAACTTTCATTATACATATACGTGTACATATAGATTTAGACAGAGAAAGTCTGTGTGAGAGAGAGAAAGAGAGAGACCTTGGCTCAAAGCGGTGGCTTTGGAGAGATCAACATCGAAAGGAGACTCGGAGTCAAGGTTAGAACGGACCTTATCAGGGAGCATGGACATGAAAGCGGATCTGAGAGAGTTAACGGAGTTCCGGCGAGGGATTCGGGTTTTCCGACCGTCGTGTTCCGTGGAGTTCCGATCATTTTTGGACAAAAGTGGGCGCGTGGGATCCGAACCCGAATTCATGTCCAAGTTCGGTTATTAACGTTCAACGAAGGTCATGAAATGAACCATGCAATGTTCTTTTAAATAATGAAAATGGAACCGAACAAAAATAGATAAAATAAATAAAATATTGAAAATGAACGCTCACAGATTTCTATTCTAGTTTTTGATAAGTAATAGCTGGTCACATAAAAAAGATTAAATTATAATAATAAATAATAAATAATAATATTCATACGAGTCCTTTTCAATTGAGTTATACACACTTCTTTTTATTAGTTGAGGCTTATTATTACAGTGACATCCTTTTTAGATTTAATTGTCTATTGAGTGGACTCTGTTACCAAATATTTAAATGGTGAAATCATATTAATATTGTCTATAATTTGTAAAACTTATTTTATAGTATATTTATAGTCCTTTAATATAAAACTCTCTTCAATTTTTCACATTTTTAATGTCTTATTTACAAAAATATGTCTAATAAACTTATAATTGAAAAAAAATACTAATTTTGTTTTTTTTCTTCTGTTATTATTTAATTAAATGCAAGGTTAATCATGTAAAACTAATACTATCCTTTTATAAATTTATAACTATAATATACAGCTACTATTTTTTAAATATCCGTGGAATTTGTAGGAAGACTTATAATAAAGGGTAAATAAAGTACAAAATATAATAAATGTTTAATTTTGATCTCCAAAATTGTGTTTTTAAAATAGGGATCAAATTTTTAAAAAGGAAAAAATAAGAGGATTAAAATTGCAATTAAACTAAAATAAAATTTATTTTTTAAAAAAATATTTTGTTTAAACAAAATAAATACATAAAATTATGGGAAAGTTGAGGATCTCAATTGTCCATAAAAATTCAACTCGGAGACGAAGAATTTTTTGGTACAAATCATGTAAACCTTGTAAAATAAAATATTAAAGTTGTATGTATACCTACAAAATTCTAATTCTAATCATATGTTACCATAATATTGTGTTAAAATGTTAATATTTCATGGGTAAAAAATTATTTTTCTAAAATACTCTTTAATTAGTTTTAGAGAGTGTTGAATAAGGTAGTCGAGAATTTTAAAATTTTAAACAATTTAAATAATATAATTAAAATATGTTTGTTTTTGAATTTTTTTTTGTTTGAATAAAGTATTAAAATTATTTGTTGTTAAAGCAGTTGAAATAAAAAAGTTGTATCTCAAAAATGATTTTTATGAAAAGCTGTTTGAAATAGTTTTAAAATTAAGTGATTTTTTTTTGAAATTTTAATATTAAAAAAAAATTTCAATATAATGATGAAATATCTAAAATAATATTTTAAAAATAAATATTCAAATCAATTTTTCATATGAAAAATTTCTTTGTAATTTGTTTTACATAAAATTATATTACACTATAAAAATTATTTTTTTAAAAAAAGGCAAAATAAATGGACTAATAATTCTCGAAATCTTATATTTTCCTTTCCTATTATAGTTTTATTGAAGCTTTATGCATCTTGAGTTTATCTGCATTCCTCAAGAGGTCAAAATCTGCATTGCTCATTAAATTAATATAACAAATAAATATAACAACACAAAAGACTCATAAATACATAATCCAAAACCAAATCATTGTTTCTCACCTATATAAAATTGCAAATAGGAATTTGCACCAAAACCATAGGAAATAAACCTTTTCTCCATTCTCATCATCACCAACATTGAAAACATGTTTAATCTTCATAAACAAAATCCAAAAACAACCTAAATAAATGACTAATCTATCCAAACTCATAATAATGAAAAACACACACATTTACAAAAAAACTGAAGTATTAGTGCAAGATATTCCACACGTATCAATACCTACTTAGTGTCAAGAAAACCACCCCATAATCGTTCTAAAAAAACCTTGGATAAAAATCACATTATTCTTTGAATTTCCTGACGAATCTACCTCTTCTCTCGCTGCTGAACGAGTCTTCAGCCACGCCACTTATTATTGCTCCTCCGATGAGCCAATAACCATTAATATGGAGATCAATTGAAGAAGAAATTAATATAGGATGAGACAAAAATGATTGAAGACAAAAATAAATGTCGATTGAGAACGATAAATTTTGGGTGAAATCAAGCCATAATTGAGAAAAAAGATTGAAGATGAAAGGGATTGTTTTGTTAGGGTTTGGACATTTTGGGGGAGAACGAAGAATACATTTTCAAGGTTCCGAAATTTACATTTTGAAAAGGGTTTAATGGTGATACACTAACAGTGTAAAAAAGTTTTACACTATCATCTAATAAAAATTTATCATTCTGCAATGTCATATAACTAGTTTAAAATTCTCAATCTGATTTGGTCGGATGCATGGTCGTTATTGGTTGACATTGTAAAAAAAATTTACACGGTTAAGTGCATCATCCCTTTTTTCTTTTGAAAATATAAAAACAATTAAAATATTTTTAATTATATTTTTAGATTTATTATTAATATTGATGAAATAAATTTAATATTTATAAATTAATTAATATGACGTGGAAATAAAGTGGTCAATGTTGATATTTCAAGTCATTTGCTCATGTGCCATGTCATTAAAAATTAGATCCAAATTAAACAAGGTATTAAATACAAAAAAAAATAATTAAAAATAAACCAAAATCCTAATTTTTAAGTTGGAAAAAATCCAAAATCCACTTTTAAGAATATTTTCTAAAGTATCCTAGTTTAGGGATGAGAGTAAGTAATGTTGTCAAACCAATTGACGACAGCTCAGTAACTTTAAAAGGAGTAGTCAATTGGATTGGAGACACTGTATGGTGTTGCCAATCCAATTAACAACAATGTATTAATTCACAAAGGTGGCGCCAATTAATTTGGAGACAGTGTACAATCATAAAATTTATAGCATAAATAATTAACATTAATATTTAATTAAAAATAATATTACATAAACTAATGACGACAATCAAGTTGGTCATACTAGTCACCGGTTCCATATCCCCTAGTTACCCTTACTCTTTTCTCTCGTTGTTGATTCACTCCAGGTGTTTGAGAATTTAAGGTCTCAGGAACATCCCCAGCAGAATCCCCAAGAAGTTCTTGCATTTTTAAGTAGTCTTGTGTATGGAGCGACACACTGCCGTAACTGAGTTCGCCACCCATGCCAGAAAAGTTGGGATGTGTTGAAGGGGTTATTGGTATGCAACCTGGACGATTGAAGGGGGGCATTGGTGTGAATGATTTGCTGGTGAAAGGTTGAAATGATTGTGGTGTTTGAAAGCCATAAGGTTGTTGTGATGTTTGTGTGTGTTGGATATGGTGTGATGTTTAAACATTTTGACTATGGTACGATGTTTGGGCGTTTTGGTTATGGTATGAGGAAAGGTTGGTGTTATATGTTCCTAGGGTGTTTTGGCTATATCTTGATGTTGTGTTGGGGACATATGCATTTTGGGTGTCTTGATAATAGTCATTTTGTTTGCGATGGTATGTGGGATGCTCTTGGTATTATGGTTGGGTGTCTGACATGTTTGGATTATAGGTTTGTGCGTTTATGGGTCGGTAATTTTGTTGGATAAGGGTTGTGAGTAATAGGTCTGATGATTTTCTAGGGGGTTAGAGGTTGAAGCTTCTTATGTGTAAGTGGTTTGTCGTGGGTCATACATATACCTCTCTTAGGAGACAAACCCAATTATAATTGATCTGTACCAAGATGTATAAGTATTAGTTGGTGTATACGAGGTTTCCATCACTAGGTCACATAAGACAAGGGCACAATTGTTCCTATATTTACGACACTCAGATTTAGCAAAATCCTTCCAATCGAGAAAATTCCATTGTTCATTAATTTTTTGTTGGTATCATTTATCGAGGTCAGTCGAGGGATATGAGATGTTTTGATGCATTCCGAACTGTAGTTTGATAGAGTCACTATGGTGCATCTCCACAGTGGCGAATCTGATGATCGACATGCATGTAGTCCAAATGGGTGCATATTCTTCTTTGACTTGATGTTGGTGTTCCATGTTTAGATATGGACGCCAAATGAACCGTAGAAGAGAAAAATATTAGATCATAAAATTGATGATATTAAAAATAAACTGATTCATTTAGTGGCATTACATTTTCGGGTGTAAGGTGACCCAAGAGATTGTGATATTGAATGATACAATGTTTAGGACATCAATTGTAAGTCATACCGCGGGCCGATCATCTAAATAAAAAGCAGTTCAAATAAATTAGTTAGAGATAATAATCAGTAAAGTGAATTAACTAATATGAAGTTATAAACTTACTTTTGTGCATACGGAATGAGAAGCTGTTGTGGTTGACGGACGCTAGGGATGACAATCTAGACCAACCCATGCTTGAAGCAAAACGGGGCGTCCAAAAAATGTAGATGTGTTTTTCGTTGCATTTTTACACAAAGAGCTATCCAAATAAGACAAACAAGTGGAACCCCAAGTATATGTTCCTGTTTTATCTAGGTGTCTTAATAAGGTAAATACATAACGTACATACTAGAACCACTACCATCAGAAAATAAAAATGAACCAATTAAAAGTATAAGATAACACCTAGTTTTTATTATTTTCATTTCTTTGGTAGAATTTTCATCTAACATTAAACTGTTGTAATATGTCTTGAGATGAAAAAGTAAGATACCTTGGGCTCTTGGGTTATGATCCAACAAGTCGGCACCCAAAAGTTCCTCGCAAATTGAATTTGTGAAGTATGTTTTTCCATTTACCGACTTACCATCAATAGGAAACCCGGGTAACATGTACACATCCTATAACATCACAGTATGAATCATATTCATGGACACGTGTACGAAACCTAAAGACATCCTACAAAAAGACAAACACTTATAGATGAAAAGAAATATAAATACATACCAAAATATAAACTTCTTAGCGAATTAACACTTACATAATCCTCAATGTTGGCGACAATGCCTCTATGAATTTCACCCATTGTCAATAGAGACATTATTTTTTATGATGAAAAATAATCAATTCTATATAAGAGTAGTATTTGTTTTTGATGCTGAACAATAACCAATTCAATCTTAATTTATAGAGGAAGAATGGATGCATGAATTCATTGTTAACGTGTTTCAATTTCCATTCAGCAATGGTGATGCCATTTGAATTTGTAACCACGTTGCTAGCTTATAACACACTCGTAAATTGGACTGAAGACAAGTAGGCTAGCTAGGGCCGTGTGTGAAGAACTCCTTGACAGTGCACAGACTGTATGCATGCATGGGTAGGATTCCTTGGCTTGGCAGGTGCGCAGGCTGCATTAATGGGAAGTAGGCATGTGTCTAACGCTAATTTAATAGACGAGTCCACTGAATTTTTGCACTATGTTGCCAATTGAATTGGCAGGTGCGTTTAATGTTGCATGCATGTTTAAACCATTTCTCATGCAATGTCATATGCACTATTTCATTTCTTATACGAAAATATACAAACAATGACATATGCATTGAGATACATTATTAATGCCCACTACAACGGAGAGACATATGTCTCTGATGCATCTGGGTTCAATTTTCAAAACACTGATCTTGTCTGACTTACAATAAAAAGAAATACAATTTTCATGTATTTTAAAGATAGATTGGAATCAAAACTAGGGTTTGGTCCTATATCACAAATTATATATCGAAATTTATTTTTTTTAAAACAACCACGTTAAATTTTATCCACTTAAAGTTTGAGACGCTGAAGATATTGAAAATATGTCAATTAATCACGAACATTTTTGTTTCAACTATATTGAGTTGTATACTTTACTCCAACAAACTCTTCCATCTCAACAGTCTTAGATAATCAATCAATCAGAACATGCAGATTCAGATGAAACTAAAGGTGTGGGCTCAGATGAAGCCGAAGCGGAAGTCAACATCGTTGATGACGGCGGAGAAGAAGAAAGAGAGACACAGGTCGATCATCTGTTGATCATCAAGCACCATTACCTTCAAGTCATGTATACTGCCCGCCTTAACATATGACCGACTTGGACTTGTGTGACAATGAAAGATCCTCGAATATTTTTCACAACCCGTATATACGGTCAGAGGGTGAATTAAAAGTGGGAGACATGTTTTGGACCAAAGAAGAATGTGTGCGAGCTATTAAAAAATATCACATGGATAACTCTGTTGATTTCAATGTACATCGAACTGATTCGAGAAGGTATGTCATTCATTGTCGTAACGATCTTTGCAAGTTTCGGCTGGCTGCGTCTCACAGGAAAATAAGTGATTCTTGGAAGATAGTTTTTATAGAGCCACCTTACAGTTGCACTGCCACTAATATCGTATAGGATCACCGAAAATTAAGCTTAGAATTGATATGTCAAGACATTTTGCCGCTTTTTAACCAGGACCCATCAGTGAAGGTGAGTATAAGAATCTCTCATATCATTACGTGATATAATTATACTCCATCGTACAAGAAAGCATGAATTGCAAAGACAAAGGCAGTTGAAAGGTATTTGGCAGCTGAGAGGATTCATACAAAGGGCACCTTGCTTATGGCAGTTGCATAAGACGACAACAATAATTTCTTTCCTATTGCCTTTGCTCTAGTTGAAGGTGAGACCACTACTGGTTGGAGTTTCTTTCTTAGGAATTTCAGAACACATGTGGCTCCACAAGCCAATCTTTGTTTGTTTTCAGTCAGACATGGTGCTATTGAGAATGCTTAATGTAACCATGATAACGGATGTCAACATCCTCCTTCTACCCATGTCTATCGCATTAGACATATCGCATAAAACTTCATGTGTGCAATCAAAGACAAGAACCTTCACAAAAAATGGTGAATGCAGGGTATGCTCTAACTCAATCATCATTTCAACACTACCATGACAAAATTAGATTGTCAAATGCAGATGCGGGAAGGCGGCTGGATAACATTCCACTGGAGAAGTGGACAAGGGCATTTTATTAAGGATGTCGATGGGGACACATGACAACAAACCTTGCGGAATCTACGAACGACGTCTTCAAAGGAATTAAAAACCTACCAATAATTGCATTGGTGAGATCAACCTATTTTAGGTTTGGATCATTTTTTGTAACAAGAGGGAAATATGGAGTGCAATGTTAATGTCAGATCAATTATTCAGTGAATGCTGCACAAAAGTAATGAAAGAAGAAACTATCAAAGCTAACACACATGTGGTTAAAGTCTTTGACTGTCATGGGCAAACTTTTAGTTGACAGGAAACAATGGACCATAATGAGAGGAAGCCAAATTTATCCTATGCAATCAAACTAAACAGATGTTGGTGTGACTATGGCAAGTACCAGGTCTTCCGTGTACCTTGCTCCCATGTCATTACGGCATGCGCACATACTCGTCAAGACGCTTACAACCATCTATCGATGTTTACAAGGCCATTAATGTTATGTGTGTCTACAACGAAGGCTTTGCAATGCTAGCAATAGAAGAATATTGGTCTCCATATCAAGGGAAAATAGTTTGGCACAACAATGAGATGCGAAGAAAGAAAAAAGGCTGCCCAAACAGCACGCGTATAAGAATAGAAATGGATACGACTCATAAAATGATAAGATTATGTAATATATGCCGTTAGCTCGGACACAATCGAAAAAAATTGTTCCAATGTCGGAGCAACCTTTGCATCATAATTTAGTTTCTTCTTTCAATTTTTGTAACATTATATTTTGATATATTAATAACTTTTTGTTACAACAATGTTGACAACAATCATCACCCCGACTTAAACACATTTAAAAACAACAACACTTTTCAACAAAAAAACTAGATATCACAAAATGAACAACACATACAACAAATATCAAAAGAGATAAAAAATACTCAACTACAACATTTAAACACAATATTTCTAAATGATTACAACAATCAAACTAATATCATTTGGTCCAAACATCACTTCTCACGCAGGGCATCGTGCCTCTCAATACTTCTAATTTTTTCGCCCTCAGGTATGTCTCTAAACCAATTGACACCACCTTTATGAATTAACACATTGTCGTCAATTGGATTGACAACACCATATGATGTTTCGATCCAATTTACGTCTCCAATTAAAGTTAGAGAGTTGTCGCCAATTGGTTTGGCAATAACAATTACTCTCTTCTTCAAACGGGAGTACTTTGAAAAATATTCTAAAAAGTGAATTTTTTGAAATTTTTTAAAATGTGGATTATTTGAGAATTTTTTTTTTAAACAAGGGAATCAAAACTTAGAAAAAAAAATTAAGTTAAAAATAAATTATATATTTTAAACTTTTTTAACATAAATTTTAAATAAAAAAATGAATTAGAACATTTAATGTTAAACTCGCATTAACACGTCTACGAGGTAAACATCATGTCATTATAAATTACTTTTAGGTTTGCACGTGAACTAAAATAATAAAAAGAACTGATAAAATAAAAGACTAAAATCTTATATTTTAAAATGAAAAACTAAAAAAAATAATAACAATAGAGAATCAAAATTGCAATTAAACTTATATAATAATATAAATAATTAAAAATTTACAAATATAAATTATACGAAAAGAGATATGTACTAAACTACCTGCACCCATATACTTATCATTTATTTGGTTATTACCTAGACCCTACTTCATCTTTTATTTGGTCATGCTAATAAGTACCCTTAAAAATTTTAAATAAAAATATAGTATATGTTTTTAGTAATGAATATATGTAATATATATTTTAAAAAAAATTATTTCTAATTTTAATACATTGAATATACATATTTTTAAAAATATTTAAATTACTTTTTTAATTTCTTAATCAGTGTCTAAATAAATAGTGTAGGAGGATTTTACATTTTAGGATAGTGACTACTCAATGTGGTATAACCCCAAAAGAGAGTGCAAAGAATAGATTTGAAATTGTTATTGAAATGCGTGCGTGTGTAAGGGAGTGAGTTTCAGTGGCAGTCTTCCCTTGACTCCTTTGTCTAGGAAACACCACTACACAACTCAATACTATTTCTTTCCATTTTCATTCTACTTATGTTTTTTCTAATTCAATTATCTCCCTATTATATTCTCTACTCTAGGGTTTTCCCATCCCAAACCCACTCAATTTTTCTCGACCAAGTGAGTCATCACTGATGCTTCACTAATGGAAATGGCGAATTCATGTGACCACTGTTCCAATGGAGCTTCGGTTTCTGATGAAGGGGAACCCATTTTTACTTCACTTCCACTCTCTCGTGCCAGTGAACTCACCATTTCCTTTGAAGGCGAGGTCTATGTTTTCCCTTCCGTTACGCCACAAAAGGTTCCCTTTTTTCTATTATCCTTTTACTTGCAAAGACCTTGTAATCAACCTTTGATCACCCCTTTATGCTGAAATGCAGGTGCAGGCTGTATTGTTACTCTTAGGAGGGCAAGAGATACCCAATAGCATCCCCACCTCTGACTTTTTGGCGCAGCAAAATTATCAGGACATTTGGGTATTTCATTTCGAAATAGCTCTTCATTCAGATACATTTCTTTTTAAGCGTTTTTAAACTTGTTGTGTATGCCAGGGAATAAATGATCCTTCGCGTAATTCAAAGCTTTCGCGGAGATTTGAGTCACTTGTTAGGTTCCGTGAAAAACGAAAAGACAGATGTTTTGAGAAGAAAATTCGGTACACTTGCCGTAAAGAGGTTGCTGAGAGGTAGGATGAGGGGGTAGTTGGGATCTTTGGTGCAGTTGTTTCACGTTTTCTTCTTTTGTATTGTAAATTTGTGTGGCAATTACACTCTTTTCTTTTAATATTTGATTAATTGGGTTAAACAGAACTTAGGAGCTAATTTGAGATTTTGAGCAAAGTAGTTGGTTCACATTCGTGCTTCTGCTTCACTACTAAGCTTGTATTTATGTTGAATAGAGTCTATCTTGGTAATTAATAATGTAGTATTATGTCTCTAAATGTTTTTTTTGTTGTTCTTATCTTGCACGCCATTAGAATGTGCTACCTTTCTGGGTTTCTTTTTGGAGTTTTTACTTTAGACACTAGCATGTTTTGCATGTCGTCTCAACATTTGATGCTTTTGAGATTGATGATATTAATTTATCTGATAGGATGCAACGGAAGAATGGACAGTTTGCATCATTGAAGGAAGAGTATAGTTCTCCTGCTGAAAATCAGGATTTTAACAACGGTGCACCTTGCCCAAAATCTAAGTGAGTTACAAAGTTATATAAATTGTTTGAAAGTTAAGGATGCAATAATATTTACCTTTTCACTTTAATATATAAATATTGGTGCTAACGCGGCTATTGTTCTGCTGCATCCCTGCCATTTTTAAGTGAGCGTAGATGTCACCATTGTGGAATTGGTGAGAAGTCTACTCCAGTAATGCGTCGAGGACCGGCTGGTCCAAGATCTCTATGCAACGCCTGTGGGCTCATGTGGGCAAATAAGGTAATTACTATCTTTTTATTAACTTAGCTTAGGATTATATTTTGTCATATTAATTATTGCAAGTGCTGTGAATTGTGATCCAGAACTAGGTGTTAAATCCTGTCTCATTTTTGTATAATTTTTTTTGTACCTTTATTTTATACCAACTAGAACCCATGGCTTAAACAAGAGCTTTTGTCTCTTATTGTATCATCAAATTTCATATTCCCATGTTGCCAATTACTGATCTTCATATGTTCGGTTTGTTAATATGAAGGGAATGCTGAGAGATCTCAACAGAGCTGGAAGGATTGCTTTTGAACAGAATGAACTGGTATATTTTTCATTTTGCATGTTGTAATTGGATTCACCTGTTAGAAAATAACCAAGATAATATGTTATTCATCCTCCATCACTCGAAGAATAAATTAACTAACGACGTCCAGGGCATGTCTGCCATTCATATAACCAGGCCCATATCATGTTTGTGTGTAACCAGGATTTTGGATCTTCCTGGGTTTTAACATCACATGGTTGTACCATTTGATGAGAAAGGAATATCAAATGTCTCATCAATTAAATCGGTTATGTTCCAACTAGCATATATTCGAATGTGAAAGGCTTGAGATTGATACATGAACTTGTTCCACTGAAAAATAGTTGCAGCATGTTTATAAATGGTGCATGCATGGATATAAGCAGTAGGCAGCCTATAGTCAGATCGATAAATTCTGATATCATATTAGAGTTTGATTTAACTCATCTTTACAAAACTGATTTATAAGATGAGGGATTTATAAGATGTGGGGTGTCACTCTATAAAAACTCTTTTAAGGCCCTATTTCTAACTAATGTAGAACTTGAGATTTTCCTAATACTCGAAAACAACTGTGTCTATTTTCTACCCTTTTTGTTTGGATTACTTGCCCTTAAAATCCAATGAAATTAGAATGCAATTCACTAGTCGTCACTAATTTGAAGTTTCTTGACATGACTTGTTCTAAACCAAAGATACTTGGAATTTCAAGGCTAATTGTCAGGCCCGGCCCATAGGCTAGGCAAGTGAGGCCTTTGCCTAGGGTCTCAATTTTTTTTTATCTATATTATACATGTTTGATTCTGAGCCGTTACTTACTGAAGCCAAACGACCACCTATATATATTCCTCTACGTACATAACATTTGTAAAGTAATAATTTTAATAATTTATCTCACAAAATCAATTCATATTAAATAGAAATAGACACAATGACATTTTACTGTACGTGCCTGCCTAGTATTTCTTTCTCTTTCTCTACTTCCATCCCATCATATTTATATTGGTCTTGCTTATCTCATATTTTATCCAAATATTGAAAAAAAATCAAATATTATTAAAAAAAATTTGTTAAGGAAGACAAAAAGAAGAACAACAAAGACCAAATTAAAGAAGCATTAAGAATAATAGAGTTTATTTATTTAACATTTTATAGTTTAATTTTTATTTTTAATAATTTAATTCGTTTTAGCTTTGTTATTGTTGAATTTTATTTGTTTTATATTAGTGTGTCCTGGAAAATATTTATTATTTTATTTTATAATTGAAGAATGTCAACTCGAAAATTTGAATTAGGAAAGAGAAAATGGGATATGCACTGACAGTATAAAATAATTTTACACTGTCAAGCAATCATCGTCATGTATCCCGTCACATCATTCTATAATTTTTAAGTTAATCGCATGACATGACAGATTGATGAATTCCTATTAGTTGTTTTACAATGTCGGTGCATACCAATTAAACTCATTAGAAAATTGAAAGCTTAAAGGAAAAAAAAGAATTGAATATTTAGTTGATTCACAAAAGGGAGCTTTAGATAAATTTATTAAAAATAAAAAAAAAGAAGTAAATTTGATAGTGTAGATGACTTTAACAATATAGATCAAGTTAACAACTTAGAGAAAAAAAAAATACATATAGTCATTTATTAATAGAAGAACATGATAAACACCGCTTAAAAAATACGTGATCCAAGGTAATGGACAAATATTAGTACCAATTTAAAAGATTTATTAATAGAAAAAAGTCCTCTTAAAGTTATCGATATAGATTTTCTTAAGGATGAATCTTCAAGGCATTTTTCTTCCTCATTTTATATTAAAAAATTACCAAACGGAGAAAAACATGAAAGAAGATGGCTAATATATTCTCAAGATATGGATAAAGTATTTTGTTTTTGTTGTAAATTGTTTAATACTCTTTCTAGTACAAGCAAATTAACAAGTTGTGGTAATAAGGATTGAAAATGTCTCAAAATTAAAGTTAATAAAATTTTATTTAAGATCAACAATGTCTCTACAAAGATTAAATGGATTGACTTTATTATCAATTGAAAAAGAAATGATAAATGAAATCGATTACAATAATTTAATAAATAATTTTGCATCTCAAAGTTTTTAAAATAAAATTTTAAATAAAAAATACTATTAACTTAAAAAGGTCTCATTTTAAATTTCGCCTCAAGACACGGTAAGTGTTGGGACGGCCCTGCTAATGGTATTCCTTTTATTTTTAGGATACTTCAACTGACATAAAGTTTTCAACAACAGAGCCAGAAAATTCATGTGCTGCGCAGGACAAGGAGGTACCTTTTCTCTTAAACTTTTCTTCTGCAAATTTAGTGAACAGTTATGTTTGGGACAAAAAATGTAGCTGTTTCTTTTACTTCTTATTTTCTTGTGACATTGGTTGTGTGTCCCTTTATCTTTTTCCAGTCTTTTTTACGGGTCTTCAGAATAGCCAGAAGAGTGCGCAACTCCATGTCAATATATTGTTTTCCTTGAGGGCCTGTTTGGGAGTTTGAAGGGAAAGGGGAGGTGAGGGTTTTGAAAAAAAGGGAAGGATTGAATGAAAAGAATTGAAGGATTTTGGTTGAGAGGGTTTTGGAGGGTTTTATTTATAACATCAAAAACCCCCTTAATTTGGAAAAATTCAAAATTTGTATTGAAGAAGGGTTTTGGAGGGCTTACATAAATTTTCCAAATATATTTTATGTTGATATAGTATTCCGAAAATTAAAAATATAATAATGATAAACACTCTTTTATCATTTTATACAAAATTATTCTTTTAAAAAAATGCCAAATACTTTTTTATACTTTTTAAAAAATTCGATTTCGGAAGCCTTCCCCTCCTTTTCAAACTCCCAAACAAAGTCTGAGGGTCCATGACGCAAATGTTTTGTTTTTCCAATCTATCATTTCGTACTCTTGTTTGCATGTCTGGGTTCTGATACTAATGCTAATTTTATTTTGTTAGGGTGGTTTTATTTCTCAGGAAATAAAGGAAAGCCCCCGGGAAACAAAGCCCGTGCAAATGGATGCCATACAGTCACCCGAGATGATAGATGAGCAGGTTTGTATTAGTGTAATCATTATATTTTCTGAGTTAAATAAATTAAACTAGCCTCAGGCTATTATGCGGAAATTTGACTTGTTTGCTTGCTTGCACGGGATTATGTAATTTAATACGTTGAATAAATTAGATCATTGAAATATGCAAAAAAATAATAATCTGATCAACTTTTGCAGAACGCAAAATACGTAATAACATATTTTCTCCGGTCTCTTAAAACCTTTTCATTCAGAACTTCAAAATTATTTGTAAAACTCAACTAAATGAAGCAGATATTCACTTGAGCATTCCTAAGTCTCATAATATGAAGTTCTGAACTCAAGTTTAGTTTTCTTTTTCTCTTCCATTCATTTTTGACCTGGAGCCACCAGTCAATTAGTTAGTTTCCTTCAGAAAATTGAGTCCAATTCATGTTACCAAGAATGCAAGTTTTTGGATTAGTGTATTTCATACTTAATTTTGTCTAGTCTTTTGCATTCTAATTTTTTTATTGGGATCTCAAAGTGGTGTTGTTTCAAGAACATACCTAATTTTTTTAAATCCAATGTTGAACATTATGTCATTTTATTGAATAGTTATAATATGAATACAGTATATGCTTGAATCTGCTGAAGCTGTTGTTGACAACTTATCCATTCAAGTGGAGAACAATGCTCTTGATCTGCATGGGCAGGTAATTTTCTTTTACTTTCCCTTCTTCAAACGAAACGATGTATCCTTCAGACAGGGGAAAATCATGGCGATAGCTGATAACAGCCTTAGCATTAGGACATTATTTGATATTTCGTATTTTATGCTTGAGGATTGCAGGATAAGACAATGGAGGATCTTGCTGATGCTTCTGGGATTGAATTTGAGATTCCCGCCGGTTTTGATGATCAGGTATCCATCAGATCTTGCTAGCTTTTAGCTATCAATTACTTGTTAAAAAATTTATGACATGAGTTTTGACATGCGCGCGTATACAGGTTGATATTGATGATCCCAACATGAGGACTTTCTGGCTGTGATCTGAAGTCAATGGAAAGAATATTGCGGCGCTGGTTCAACTAACTCTAGACTTTTGGAGATGGTTTATTTTGTATAGACAAACTATTTCTGAAAGCACTGTGAATTATATGACCGTAGAGACTTAACAATCTTCATACATGATAGTTCTTGTACATCCCACGTGATCCTATTTAATTTATATATAATGTGAATAGTTCAGTTTTCTTATCCCTTCACTTATGCCCATTGAGTTTGTTTTCTTTGCTGAAAGCCTTAAGCTGCTTTTTCAACTTATAATTCAACGGGAGAAAGGGGCATAAGAGAGAACTCAAATAATTTTAAATTCTTATTCTTTCTCTGATTTTTTTAGTACATAAAAAAGAAACAACAGAGAAATTTCATAAAGAAAAATATTTCAAAGAGAAATCAAGAATAATTAGATGAGATGACAAAAATTTATTTCAACTTAATTGGAGATTTTGAAATTGAGTTTAACTTTTGGATTAAAATATTAATTTTCAGTTATTTGCAGAGCATATTTGGTTTAATAAAATTGTGGGAGAAAAGTTATCAAAACTTTTTATCATACACCGTCTCATAACCAAAGAGAGTGGGTGAAAAAAGATAAGGCATAACTTATTAGAAGTAAACTCAATTTGCAGGGCAACTATGCTGATAATTACGAATTCCACGACAATGGGCGAATCTGGCTGTATTGGGATTCCGGCAAGGTAACCAATTGATACACTGGTGTTTCTGATATGTGTGGCAAATTTCTGTATTGGACAACAGCAGTCTATGCACTTAATAAATTGGAGCAAAGACGAGTTTTATGGGCAGATATCGAGAAAATACACGAGCAGCAACAAGGTCCTTGGTGCTTGCTTGGTGATTTCAACAATATTCTAAAGACCAAGGATCGAATTGGCGGTAAGTTGGTAACTAAATTGGAATACATTGATATGGTTAACATGATGCATAATACCGGTTTGTATGAGAAGGAAAGCACGGGAGACTATTATACTTGGCTTCAAAGCAACAACGAGACAACACTCAAAATCCTTCCGCCGAGTGTTTCTGATCATGCCCTCATTTGCTTGACAGGTGCGGAGACGCAACAAACCAGAAAATATCAATTTAAATTCCTCAATTGCGTGGCTCACATGGAAGGCTATAAAGAAGCTGTCTAAGAAAAAACTAGATGGAACCTATGGCAAGTAGGCCCATGGCTGTTTTGTGGAATAAATTAAAAAGGCTGCAACCAATCTTGAAGCTTATTAGTAAACCTGCTATCCATATTCAGCAGAACATTGCTAAGGCTAGAACTGCATTGCATAATGCGCATCAAAACCTTGTTGGTGACGGGATGAATGTGAGTAAGATTGAGGATGTGAAAAAGTACACTGAGGAAGTTATTAAATTGAATGAGCTTGAGGTGAATATTCTTGAGCAAAGATCTAAACATGATTGGAAATAACTCATATTTACATGCTACTATTAAAATCAAACGTAGTGCTAAGGGGTTGAATATGCTGTATAACGATGATGACATGGTTTTGACGTCCCCTTCTGATATTGAGGAGGAAGTGCTGAACTATTATCCTGATCTGATAGGTAGCAGCTCCAGCGACATGATGCACATTGATATATCGACCATGTGTAACAGACCACAGCTTAGCATGGATCAGCGCGAGAGTCTAGTCGCGAATGTTACGGAGAAGGAAATTACGGATGCTCTGAATGGCATTGGTGACTTGAAAGCTCCGGGTATTGACGGATACAGTGCAAAAATTTTCAAAACTAGCTGGGAGATATGGTTGCTGCAGCCCGTGAATTTTTTGAGAATGATACCGAGGAATGAGGAAGCTAAATCCGTTAAGGACTATCGACCTATTGCCGGATGCACAACTGTTTATAAAGTGATTTCCAAAATCCTTACTGCTAGATTGGGTAAGGTCCTTGGTATCATTAGTCAATCGCAAGTTACGTTTGTACTGGGGCAACAAATTCACAATCACATTCTTTTGGCCTTCAAACTAGTAAAAGATTATTCGAGAAAAAGTGGTACTCCGCGGTGTATGATTTAACAAAAGGCCTATGATATGGTTAACTGGACTGCGTTGGGAAGTATTATGAAAGAGATCGGTATGTCTAACCAATTTGTTAAGTGGGTTATGATCCCCGTAACTTACAGGTTTAATATTAATAGGCATCACACGAAGAGTTTGCAGGCTAGACGTGGGATTAGGCAGGGTGATCCGCTCTCCTCCTCTTTTTTGTTGTTGTTACGGAATACTTGTACCGGAGCCTACTTCAACCGCAGAAGATCCATGATTTTAATTATCATGCTAAATGCTAAAGCTTTAAATCACTAACCTTGCATTTGCATTTGATGTGCTTTTTTTCCCCCTAGAGGAGACTACACTTCTGTTGATCTTATAACGAAGGTTTTTAACAATTTTTCATGTCAATTGGCTTCAAAGCCAATCCGGCAAAGCGTAATATTTATTTTGGAGGTGTTGATGATCATACTAAACAGAATATCATCAACCTCACTGCTTTTTGTGAGGGTTCATTTCCTTTCATGTTCCTAGGTGTTACTTTAATCAGTAAAAAACTCTTTATCCATCATTATATGAATTTGATTGATATAATAGTAGGCATAATGACTCATTGGAGCATAAAGCTCTTGAGCTATTATGGGAGTATTCAACTCATTAAGAGTGTGAGCTTTGCCATTGCGAACTATTGGATGCAATGTTTTCCTCTTTCACCGTGTGTTATCCACAAGATTGAATTTATTTGTAGACTGTTTCTCTGGACAGGTGATTCTATCATTAATAGGAAGAGTCTCATTTCATGAGATAATGTGTGTAGACCTCGTGATTATGGGATTCTTAACATCATTGATCTTAAGCTTTGGAACAAAATTACTATGTGAAAACTACTATGGAACCTTAGTGGTAAATCAAATAGCTTGTGGGTGAAGTGGATCCACACATATTACATGAAAATGGTGACTTGATGACTATAGGTATTAGAAGTAATACTTCTTGGATTATGAAAGCTATTCTTAAACAAAGAGGCCTCATTGTAATGATCCCTCATGTGTGGGACCAGATGCTCACCAATATAAAATTAGGAATGAAAGATGTGTAAAAGGAAGTGTGTAGCGATGGCGCTAAAGTAACTTGGAGACGAATCTTCCATTGCAACGCTGCTAGACCTAGGGCGTTGATGACCTTATGATTAGCTTGCCATGGGAGATTGGCCATAAAATAGCGTTTTCTCAGGTTTGGTATGGTGTCTAACAGGATTTGCTATTTTTGCTTGAATGAGGAATCCATGTATCATCTTTTTTTTAAAATGTTTAGATTTAAAAGTCATCTGAGCTAAGGTCCTAGTGTCGCAACTCGAAATACAACCCTCGCGCAAAAGGTGCGGAAGAATGGTTCGGACAGAGTCGTCACCAAACTTTATTTATCCCAAAGAGGGAAAGGAAAATATCGAGAAAACCTCTAAGAGATAAGAACATGGTCATCGCAACCACATTCGGGAGTCGGTTACGTAAGAGGAAGGTATTAACACCTCATACGCCCGTTGTACTCAACGGAAACCTCTTAGTTCGATTTGTGATGAATGTTACCTAATGTTATTTGTTTTCTTCTAGCGAGTAAAGCGAAAAGGTAAAGATAAAAAAGTTTTGATTGCTAAGGGGAAATGAGTGGTTTTAGATTAAGGTGCTCCCCAAGGATTGGGGCCCTTGTGCCTACGTATTTTCATTCAGACGAGAATGAAGAATTAGAGCATTCATAGTTCGGACTACGGGAAAAGAGGTTTTGCTAAAGAAAAGGTAAGGTAGATGCGAAATGGTGGAAAAAGAAAAAAGGTAGAAAAAAGAAAAAGAAAAAGGTAGGCGCAAAAGATGGAAAAAGAAAAAGGTAGATGCAAAATATGGAAAAAGAAAAAGGTATCTTGCCAAGGATTGGGTCCCTTGTGTCTACGTATCTTCATTCGAACGAGAATGAAGAATCAGAGCGTCTGTAATTCAGACTACGGAAAAAGAGGTTTTGCTAAAGAAAAGAAAAGGTAGACGCGAAATGGCAAAAAAAGAAAAAAGGTAGAAAAAAGAAAAAGAAAAAGGTAGGCGCAAAAGATGGAAAAAGAAAAAGGTAGACGCAAAAGATGGAAAAATAAAAATGTAGCTCACCAAGGATTAGTGTCTTTGTGCCTACGTATCTTCATTCGAACAAGAATGAAGAATCAGAGCGTCCGTAGTTCGGACTACGAATTGAGCTTTTAGAGGTGACAAATGCTCACACACGAGTAAGGGAACTCGCACCCAAACAATTGAGGAAAAAGATCGAAGACTCTATCCCCCTCAATTCACCTTTAATGAAAGTAGTGTGTTGATAGTTGTTATGCGATTTTGCAGTTTGCTTGAGAAAATCCACTTGATGTTGGATCAAGGGTTTGTTTGCGTGCGAAGAGGTTGATAGCAAGGGAAAAGGCATTTGACTTACAAGTTGTTTTGAAAATGTCACTTGACGTTGAATCAAAGGTTTGCAAAAAAGGTTTGGATCGATCCTAGTCTCTAAGGGTTCTCCTAGTAACGAAACCACGAAAAGGTGTGAGTGTATGCCTTAGGTTGATGGCGATGCTAACAAGCAATCGACTTACAAGGGTGTTTTGAAAATAGCTCGACATTAAATTGAGAATTAGTTTGAAAATGGTTTAGTCTGTGCTAATCCGTAGGGGTGCTTTTAGTAAACAAAACCACAATCAACGAAAAGCGAGTAAAATGCGTACATCGAAAAGGGAGCGGGGTACATGTAAATTACACGGGATTGTGAGAAATAAATGGGGTCATTGTCAGGTAGCCCAAGAGGAAGTCGTGTGTGTATGAGGTGTCCTAAACTAAGCTACGAACAAGAGTTCAAACAAAATCTCCTATGTTAAGGTTTCTGTACAAGGTCTTAACTCCAATGCTTGGGATAGTAACCACAATCCACCAATTGAA